GAAGTGGGTACAACGGCAGGTAGGTCAGGCACACTTGATAGCCTCCATTTTCTGTACGAAGTTAGGAGCAATATCAAATTACCCACTGAGGGTAGAGATGACAGGTTGGATAGAGAGTTTGAGAAGAATGATGACAATTTAAAAACTGAAAGGAAAGAATGGTGAAGTGATGCTAACGTCTCAGCTCAGGTGAATCACCATGAATTCATTTTGACAGAAGATTTCAGTCGTGTGATTATTCCCTAAGTTTACTTATCACCTCAGGAAGAAAAAGGTAGACAGCCTGGACCCTGTTCAGCTGGGAGAGTGCAACCAAAATCAAAGAGGAGAGAAGTCAAATGGGTCCATAGAAAGCAGCTCCGCGTCAATGACCTTAGTCCAAATTGATTTATGAAACATCTGAGTCCAAAGCTATTTGGGGATGGAGTTCTCCATAGACAGTGAGAAAGAACAGAGACAGACCTTGTACGTGGTGAGAAACAGAGCAAGAGTTAGAACTCATGTCTCACTGCCTCTATAGTTCATTTTCTTCTCACTGTCCAGGTTCCCTCCTTTTGTACCTGTTGGATTCATCAGGTCAGTCCTAGGCTAGAAGTGTGGGCACAATCTTTGCCAGCCCCAGACTGGAACTACAAGCCCAGAGTCCTGGTGCCTGTCCCAGAATAAGAGCTGAATTTGTAGAATAGGGTCTGTGGGCCTTTCAGAAGCCTGCTCCCTCTCTATCTCCTCTAGGGAACCTTCCATGACCTCCTCAGGTTGAGTTAGGCCAACAATTCTAGGCTCCCAACACATCAATCTATATCCCTACCCTCTGCAAAGACAGGGAGCTCCTGTAGGACTCATCTTGGAGGCTCACTAAGAATGTTGTCCTGGCATGATTTTAAATGCAGATGGGCCATTGAAGCTGATAATCTCTGATAAAGAAAGTTAAACTTGGTGGGATATCATAGAGTCTCTGATTCGGTCTCTCTTTCCCCCTTAGTTTTTAGTTACTCTAAACACTTCACCTGATCCCAAAGGAGCCCCAACTTTTTTATTCCCCAGGAACCTAAGCGCAGTGACTCCTCTGTGGCCCAAGCCTTGCCTTCCCTAGAGATGCTAAGGCATCTCTGTGTGCTGGGATAAAACTCAATTCCTCTGCCAAAAGATATCCTGGGCTCCTGCAGCATGTGGAGTGGCAGAGCAGCCTGGGACAACAGCAGGGTGAGTAACCTGGGGCCCCAATACACCCACTTCTCTGCTTCCCAGATGGGTGACTGCCAGCACCTCAGCCTCAGATGGAGATATCAGTGGGAAGGGTCTGGAAATAATACAGAGAATGAGAAATAATCAGTCTTGGACAATGAAAGAGACAGTAGTCTCATCCCTTGCTTGAAGAGGAGGACCTGAAGAGGCTGACTATCTGAGATTCAAAGATTTACAGCTCAGGAATGAACTGGAATCCCAGACCACATTTCTAGGGAGAGCTGTCCCCTACAGTCTCTCAAGAGAGTGGATGAAAGGATGTGTCAAGCCCTCTCCCATCTGACGTTCTCATCAGTTTTTTTAAAAACTTTATTTTTATTGTTGACACTATTACAGATATCTCCATTTCCACCCGCTTTGCCCACCTCCACCCAGCCCCCACCCCCCTTTCCCTCTGGCAATCGTCCCACACTATTGTCTGTGTCTGTGTGTTACATATATATGTTTTTTTGCTAATCCCTTCACCACTTTCATCCAGTCCTCCCTTCCCTCTTCCCCTTGACAGCTGTCAGTCTGTTCCATGTATCCCTGCTTCTGTTTCTATTTTGTTCATCAGTTTACTTCGTTCATTAGATTCCACATATAAGTGAGATCATATAGTATTTGTCTTTCTCTAAGCAGCTATCTTTATGCAGGACTTCTCAGAGCCTTTAGAAGGTGACTGTGCCCTTGTGGCCCAGAGTGGACGTCAATTCCCATATTTATTTTACCCCCAGAACACTCTGTGGTGGCACATTTTGGGACACCAGACTGAAAATACACCCCCCAGGTAGTCAGGGCTCCTTGGTGATTTTGAAAGGCAATCCCAATACATTATTCCACAGAAGTAATTCTTTCCTGCAGGACTTGAAGCTCTGGCGTGTTTCTTTATGACAACGTGACTTGCACATGTGCTCTTCACCAGAACCGTTTCATTAAGCCTGTGGGTGTCCACACATCCATCAGCGGAGCTGACTTAAGGGAGCCGTATCNATGGGTTATGCATATATGTTCCTTGGCTACTCCCTTCACTTTCTTTCATCCAGTCCTCCTCTCCCTCTCCCCTCTTACAGCTGTCAGTCTGTTCCATGCATCCATGTCACTGGTTTTATTTTGTTCATCAGTTTATTTTGTTCATTAGATTCCACATCATTTTTATACTCTAAAATCAAACAACTTAATTTGGTTCATGGTTTCTTTAATTTCTTTATTTGGAAAAGATTTGTACAGAAATTTTCTTTCCTGAATAATTCCTCATCTCCAAGAGTATTTTTACATGTCCGTAACTTGTTTTGTTCCTTTGTATTTGTACAAAATACATTGACTTAAATTCTATATTGGCCCTTCTCTGTTTGTTGCTCATCGTTGAATGGGGTGAGTTCCACCAGCTCTCCATATTTGCTCAAAATAGTATCTGAGAGAGAAGGAATGGAGGATGACAGGACTGACACTATCGGCAACTCTATTTCCTTTTAAAATTTTCTACCAGAATATGCACAATCTTCTGCTCTAGAGGCACCTCCCACCTAAAAGGGAAAAAAAAGGTAATTCTTACCTTCAGAGCAAGCCCATTACATTGGCTAAATATGGCATAACTGTGCAGCCCAGTGTTCAGACTAAAACCTGTTTTAGCTCACAGACCTATTTTTGGTGGAGTTTTTAAAATCTCTGCTAAAAAATGTTTGGGTGACTGTTTCTCTTCTGTTCTTTTATTGACCTACCTTTAAAGTGTTCTTGTTTGTTCATTTACTTATTTGTATTGAGACTTAATGGCAAATCTTAGAAAAACAATGATAACAAACCCATACTGTCAACCCTTTAGGCTTCTACGTTATGTTAGTAATTTTTTTCTAGGAGGCCACTCTTTCTTGTTCAAAATAGGGTGGTTTTGATTAGGCTCTTTAGGATCATCGCACATATTTTTTTTAATTATTCCTTTTTTCAATACTCAAAGAGATCAGTTTCACACTATGAAATACTTTTATTGTCAATAGACAAAATATAATTATTCCCTAATTTGCCATTAGATGCAATACTTTTATATTAAAGTTATTGAGATAACAATGGCTAATAACAGTAAATTCCAGATGTACATGACGTCAGTATATAACATGACGTCAGTATATTCATTAAGTGCTCACCACCTGAAGTCCTTCCATTATCACATATCTGACCAATTTTACCCCTTCACCCTCCCACAGCGCACTTCCCCTCAGGTAACCATTGTTCTGTTATCTTTATCTATCAGTTTATTTGTTTGTTGTTTGTTCATTTGTTGCTTTATGATTTGTATCTCACATATGAGGAGGGGAAAGACAAGAATCATGTGATTGCAGTATATTTTAAAATCTTTATATTTTATATTTACTATTGTGTCTGAACCCAGTCACCTAATATCAGAGCTGGTGTGTTTTCCCAGTATTTTTGTCACATATTTATATTTTCCTGCCCAGATTGAGGTCACATCTTTCTGAAGACCTCTTGTGTCCTCCAAGGATGCTCCCTTCCCGGTCCTATGTCAACATCTCCTTCTTCCAGCCAGCTTCTTTCCTGATGATTGGCATCCCAGGACTGGAGGCCGCTCATGGCTGGATCTCCATTCCCTTCTCCTGCATGTACACTGCGGCCCTCACCGGAAACTGCCTCATCCTCCTGGCTGTGAGGAGAACTCCCCGCCTGCACCAGCCCATGTACTACTTCCTGTCCATGCTGGCCCTCACCGACGTGGGCCTCACCCTGTCCACCATGCCCACCACCCTGGCTGTGCTCTGGTTTGACCACCGTCTCATTGCCTTCAATGCCTGCCTGGTCCAGATGTTCTTCCTCCACTCCTTCTCCGTGGTGGAGTCCTCGGTGCTCCTGGCCATGTCATTTGACCGCTTCGTGGCCATCTCCAACCCCCTGCGCTATGTAGCTGTCCTCACAAATAATGTCATCCTTAGGATTGGACTGGCCATTGTGGCTAGAGCCACTGTGTCCCTCTTCCCAGTGCCCTTCCTACTGAAACGACTGAACTTTTGCCCTGGAAAGATGCTCCTGTCCCATTCATTCTGTTTCCATGCAGATGTCATGAAAAGGGCCTGTGCTGACATTACTGTCAACATCCTTTATGGGCTGTATGTCGTTCTGTCCACGGTGGGCGTAGACTCCTTGCTCATTGTCCTGTCTTATACCCTTATTCTTCATACGGTGATCGGTCTGGCCTCTCCCAAGGAGCGCACCCGGGCCCTCAACACTTGTGTTTCTCATATCTTAGCTGTTCTGGTTTTCTACATCCCAGTCATAGGTGTATCCATGATCCACCGTTTTGGAAGGCACCTGCCTCACATTGTACATGTTCTCATTGCCTATGTGTACCTGGTGGTGCCCCCTGTCCTTAACCCCATCATCTACAGTGTGAAATCCAAGCCCATCAGGGAGGCCATGCTCAGAGTGCTGAAGGGGAAGGGCCAAGGCGGATGAAACCAAGAAACAACCACAGAGTCTGAGGGAAAACAGGGCCAAACAGTCATATCTTATGTCCAGAAAGCCCTTGTTTAGACCCTTGACCTAGACACATATTCAAGAGTATGAAAGGCAAATGGAAACCCTCAGACTGACGGGTGAAAAGCAGTCTTGATTACTCTCCACACTCATTAATTTCAGCTGTTTTATTCAGCATTTACTTGTGGAAGAATCTGTGCTCACTACTAGAGATATGACAATGAACCATGCATGGTCCCTTCCCGCCTTTGGAGGACAGAGGCTTGCTAAATACACGGTTATAACTAAGTGTAATGAGGCTGCGANTAGCTGTCCTCACAAATAATGTCATCCTTAGGATTGGACTGGCCATTGTGGCTAGAGCCACTGTGTCCCTCTTCCCAGTGCCCTTCCTACTGAAACGACTGAACTTTTGCCCTGGAAAGATGCTCCTGTCCCATTCATTCTGTTTCCATGCAGATGTCATGAAAAGGGCCTGTGCTGACATTACTGTCAACATCCTTTATGGGCTGTATGTCGTTCTGTCCACGGTGGGCGTAGACTCCTTGCTCATTGTCCTGTCTTATACCCTTATTCTTCATACGGTGATCGGTCTGGCCTCTCCCAAGGAGCGCACCCGGGCCCTCAACACTTGTGTTTCTCATATCTTAGCTGTTCTGGTTTTCTACATCCCAGTCATAGGTGTATCCATGATCCACCGTTTTGGAAGGCACCTGCCTCACATTGTACATGTTCTCATTGCCTATGTGTACCTGGTGGTGCCCCCTGTCCTTAACCCCATCATCTACAGTGTGAAATCCAAGCCCATCAGGGAGGCCATGCTCAGAGTGCTGAAGGGGAAGGGCCAAGGCGGATGAAACCAAGAAACAACCACAGAGTCTGAGGGAAAACAGGGCCAAACAGTCATATCTTATGTCCAGAAAGCCCTTGTTTAGACCCTTGACCTAGACACATATTCAAGAGTATGAAAGGCAAATGGAAACCCTCAGACTGACGGGTGAAAAGCAGTCTTGATTACTCTCCACACTCATTAATTTCAGCTGTTTTATTCAGCATTTACTTGTGGAAGAATCTGTGCTCACTACTAGAGATATGACAATGAACCATGCATGGTCCCTTCCCGCCTTTGGAGGACAGAGGCTTGCTAAATACACGGTTATAACTAAGTGTAATGAGGCTGCGATAGGTGCACACTAACTGTTATAAAAACCTCAAAGAGGGCTTACTGTCTTGTCAAGAGGGAATTAGAAAGGAGTCAGGTAAGAAGGGGCTGAGAGGTGAAGGGGAGTTAGGCAGAAAAGGTGGGCAAGGGGAAAACATACCTAATAAAGGAAAACAATGTTTAAAAAAAACAACAGGTGTGGAATTATTTGGTTTGCTTGCCTAAAGGTGAGCAGGCCTATGTGGCTCAGAATTTGTGTATGTGTTGGAGGAAGGAGGACAGAAGATGAGCTAGAGATGATGAGCAGTGGTGAGATTTCTTGGGGTCTTTCAGACCTGATTGAAGCATTTGGCCTTTGTTCTTTGTTTAAAAGCCAGCCATGGAAAGGCTATTGTATTGTAAAATGTTGCACCAGCTTAACTGTGTATATTGTATTGAAAAGGCGAAAGTGGAAGAGAGAAAGAATGTGAGGAAACCATTTAGGAGGCGGTTGTAAGGGTCTAGAAAAAAGAATGGAAGCTAAAATTATCAGTGTCACCAGTAATGGAAAAAAATGTAGGTTTTTTTAAAAATTATATCTCTACCCTTCTCTGTCCTCTGGAAGCAGTGACACCAGTAGTGGTGAACAGAGCTAGCACCCACATACTGGTTTCTAAATATCATTTCCCACAACAAATAACCTGCAACACTTAGAGCAATTGCTTATTCCAGGTATGAAGCAGGGAGAACATAAGGTGACACTTGCCTGAGAGCAATAAAGAGCACAGAAACAGTAGAATAAATAGCAACACAGAAACCCATTCGGGGGCCCAAGGTGGGTCCATTGGAATATTATAAATCATTTTGACAGCAATGGATTATAACAAATTAATTTTTTTGAAAAAGTGAGTCCATAGTGACATTTAAAACAGATGGGGAGAAAAGAAAACACTTCTTTATAAAAGAATGGCATGTAATAAATGCAAAAGTATTGACAGATTTAGAAAATTACCTATTTGAAGTTTTTAATGTAATTTAAAATAAATTAATAAATGCTTAAAGGATATTGAAAAACAATATTCACACAGTCTCAACGTATCACTGCATGGTTTAGTTACAAAATACAAAAAGATATATGTACCTTTATAATAAAGAGATTGGCAATTACTACCTTAAGTAAGTGATCAAACTTAACCAATAATGGGATAAGCTGAACTTAACCTTCTGTTATGAACAATAAGGATATCACATATGCAAAATTCCTACCAAAAATATTCAACCTGAATCTAACCATGAGCAAATAATCAGAAAAATCTTGAATATGAGAAGCAAAACACACACACACACTTGCACACACACGCACACCTAGCAGGATTCTTAAAAATGCAATGTTATAAAAACTATGTCAGGGGAATTTATCTAAATTAAGAGATTAAAGAGGCATAACCAAATACTAGCATTAACAAATCATTATTAGGACAACTGTGAAATTTAAATATGTATTGTATACTTATGATATTAGGTTAATATAATTTGCTTAGTTTTGAAAATGGTTTTGTGCTTATATAGGATAATCTATTTTTAGGATATGCATACTTAATACTTATTGAGAAAGGTTGTGACATCTACAATTTACTTTCAAGTGAATCAGGGAAAATTAAGAGCGTGCATGTATGTATGTGCATGTGTGCAAATATATGAGTGTAGAGAGAGGGGAGGAAAGAAATAGAGAGATAGAGAAAACAATGTAAAAAAATGTTATCAATCTAGGCAATGGGGATACAAGTGTTTATTATAATCTTTCTTCAACTTTTCTATAGATTTGAAATTTATAAAAACTAAAAAGTCTGAGTGGGAAAATACACATGCATATTTCAACATATATATATGTATATGTGTATTTACATATGCACACATATACACACACATGCACATATACAATGCATTTTCACCTACAATGGGTTAATCGGGACCTAATTCCCTAGTGAGTTGAGGAGCATTTGTATACTGTATACAATTATCATCAGGCCCAGGGTTCTCCTATATTTCATTTGTTTGTTTGTTTGTTTGTTTGTTTGGGGGGTGGGGAAGGGAGGGACTTGCAGGTTTTTTCCTTTTTATTTAATTTATTGGGGAAACACTGGTTAACAGAATTATACAGATTTCAGGTGCACAATTCTAAACACATCATCTGTACGCTGTATTGTATGTTCACCACCCCAAGTTAAGTCTCCGTCCATCGCCTTTATACCCCATATCCTCCCCCACCTCTTGCCAACCCCCTTCCACCTGGCAATCACCACACTGTGTTCATGTCCATGAGATTTTCCTCTTCTTTTTCCTTTTTCACTGAATCCCTCCACCCCTGGCCCTACCCAC